TAAACTTTATCCATGTAAACTTTGAATTTTTTATTTCTTTTTCTTTGAAACATTTTACAGGAGAATCCCGATTTTTCGATCCTCGAAGGGAAACGAAAATTGCTTTAATTGAAACACTCGAGTAGTTCGAGAATTTTTTTTTTTTGCAGGGGGTTNGGGGGGTAAAATGACAATGTTCGACTGAGGAGAGGGAAACGACTTCTAGTTCGAGTTATCGGAAGGTTCGAAAAATCGAGAACTCAAGGAATCTGGAAATTACACTGAAATAAGTGAAAGCAATAGACATACTAGACATCTGCACGCGGCTTGGGTTCAACTCTAAGAAGCCAAGTTTTCAAACAATAATTTATCCCTGTATATTAAACGTCAACGTTATTCCTGGGGTTCCTTTTCACTCGTCGCCACTAATTTATAACTTTCTTCGCTCTCTCTTTTTCCTTCTCTTAACTTTACGAACAAATGAGTGGATGAAAACAGACCTAAAACAAATATTGTCGTGATAGAGTAAATGAAATAAGTCTTGGCAACGCCGACCCAGTTGATAAGGAGACCGCTGATCACTATGCCTGTGCCAACTCCTAGTCCCCAGTAACATCCACCCAGGACACCTGCAGTCAAACAAACACGAAGTTAGAAACGTCAAGCAGAAAAGCGGCGATTTATCTGAGCCGGCGATCAGTTTTAGGCGGCAATGTTGGTAAGAAACGGACCCTTATTGCCCGAAATTTTGTCGACATCAACTTTTTGCTTTATGTCGCAAAAGAAGAAAACAAATTAGTAAATAACATAAAAATAAACGAATGCTCCTAGGTTCCAGAGTCGCCTAAATTTCGTTCAAGTTCTCCACGTAGTTTAGTGGCCAAATAAAAAAAGTACGAGGACAAAATAAGAGTTAATGAGATTTGCGTTTAACTCTCATTTCAAGCGAATCATTACTCTGCGTAGCTGGCAGTTGACGAAACTGCGAGCTCAACATGGTTGCCACAGATATCGCTTTTCAAAATTCCCTGGCTTCTCCTCGATAAAATATGATTTTTATGAACCAAATAACTACAAAATTTCAGATATAGTACTGGCCTCCAGCTGCTCCTCACAGNAAAAAAAAAAAAAAAAAAAACACCAACAATTCGCCTTCTTCGTGAAAGAAAACATCTTTGAGAGCACAACAATGACCTGAATTGTTTTTCCAGCCTTCAATGGTATTTAATCGGTGGTGTAATAATTTCAATTTTCCCTGACTTTTCTTCAAATTGTCAATTTTCCCTAACTCAAAATAAAACTCCCTGACTTTTCCCTGACCTTAAGAAAATAAATTTCGGTTCCCTGTTCAAACGTTCAAGATCAAGCATTGATCCCATCCAAACAATGTATTTTTCTTCGAACTCAAAATCTTTGCAGTGTTTTTAGTAGTTGCATGGTGCCTTAAAAAATTATTGCACATTTAGCATGGTTCAGTTTATCCCAGACATACGGTTAGCTGACGATAAAATAAGAAAAAAATCAGTGGCTGTTTATTGCAACTCAACCCTACGCCTTGATGTACGGCCAAATTCGCAAACCAACATTAAAAGAAATTTACGGCAATCAGTAGAGAGAATTGATAATCCGAGTCATCAATTACCTTGTGTAACTGCGTAGAAGCCAAGTCGTAAGGATATGGTACCGCCAAAAACCACACAGGCTACCCAGCTTGTGCCATACAGCAATCCCTGGACACTGTATAGCACCACACCCAGCCAGGGGTTGAGGACAAATGCCAGGCCCAGGTACACCGCTACGTAAAGTGCTAAACTTGCGGTTATGGCGCACACATGTCCGACCTTGGTGATTACAACCTCTGACGCGAAGTACGCGAGCATAGCTACGGTGTAACGCAAACCAGATGCGATACCCAACATGTAGGGCTTGGCCCCGAGATCATCCAGGTACCAGAAGCCGAAGTATTCGTGCAAGCCGTTCAGCATTCCTAGATAAGTAGCCATAATTATAATCACCGCATTACGGAATTTCAGAAGTTCTTTCAGTAATGGTAATATAGTAACGCTTGATGATGTCTCCAGATCGGCGTAGCTTACTTTTATGAAGATAACAGTGAATATTGCCAGCGCATTGAATCCAGCAAAGAAATAGAATGAAATGAAGTAGTTCTTCACAGTCTCACCGCACACCTCCGATTGGTAAAAGTTTATGACTCCTCCGACGAGAAACGAACCTCCAGCGACGCCCACTTCGCCCCACATTCGGAAAGTTCCGAACGCGTGAACATTTTCTTTCAGAAAGCCCACGACTAAAGCATCAGGCATGCTGAAAACGACAGAACCAATGATTTGACTAGTACAAATTATCACCAGAAAAATTATGAATATTTTCGTGATTTCGGATTCGTCGACTTTGCGGGTAAAATGTGCAGTACTAGCGTGGTTTTCAAATCTTTCCTCTTGTTTGTCGTCTCCTAATTTTAGCGTTCCTCCTGCGGTAAAAATCAGAGATGTTATCTCAGTTTTATTCGCTTCAGTCTTGACACACTGTTGATTTTGCGGTTGAACAGCCATAAGCAACAAAGTCCCTGTTGTATACGACACCAGCGAAGCGAATAAGATAATCTTTCGCATCCTAAATTTGTCCCCGACCATGCCCCATAACGGGGACCCGATGAATTCTGTAAAGAGTCTCACGCCATTTAGAATCCCTGCATGTCCAGCGGTGAGTCCAAGCTGCTTGTAGTACAATGTCAGATAAGGCAGGGAACTGCCAATGGCGGCGAAAAATAGAAAGAAATAAGCTTTAAAGGTTAATTTAGACGGGTTACACGTCGCTGAAGAATCTTGCGAAGTCGCCGATTGAGAATGCCTTTTCATTTGGTGACGGGCATCCTCGTGGTCCATTTTGCGGCGATAATATCTCGACTACTGTGCTGTTAACGTTTTTGAACGATTAAGTGTCTAAATCAAGGTAATACGAAAGCTAATGTAATTTACATATTCAAATATTTTACAACTGCCTCGCTTCACTTATTTCATCGCTGGTTTCACTCAACCGAAACAAAACAACCGCCTTTAAGGGCGGGCGATATGTGCGTTTGTGTCACAGAAACATTTCTGTTGAAAAGGTAGCGTTGCTGTAGTTACCAGATTAGAGTGCCCAGAGGGCCTCTAGAGTAAACGGATGATCATTTACTGATTTCAAGGGAACAAAAACATTTTTTGTCACAATTCGAGCACCCGAAAAAGCACTGCTTTAGCATAATTATACGATGTTCGCACTTCATTCTCTCATTTAAAGTGCCTTTGCTACACTGTGAGAACACAGATTTAGAATAATTGCAAGTTTTGTTTGTTCACTTGGGCCTGTTTCACACCAGCGACAAAACGACATAAATCGCTTAATATACAAGTGAATAATATGAAAGATCATATGTTTGAACTGCAGAGAAAGATATGAAGACATGATTGATCATCGCAGTTAAATTTTTTTATATACACAACTTAAGCAGCTGTGAAATTAAACCCTGAAAACAAAATCAGGCTTTTTAGATTTCATAGCTGCTTAAGTTGTGTGTA